GCTTTTAGATTCAGCTTGGAGAGGCCAAACTAAAAATTTTAAAATTTTAAAAAATTCATAAAAGATGAAAATAAGTTTTAAAATGCTTGATTTTTTTTTTACTTATTTTGTTTAAATTTTTTTTAATTTTTAAATTCGTATACACAACAAATTGAAAAAATAAAAAAAATTGACAAATTTTTTAAAAAATCACTAAAAAACAAATAATTCAAAAAAAAAAAAAAAAAACCCAAATAGAGAAGACTGACTTGCAGAGCAGACCAGGCTTTATGGGCAGGTGCCAAAATTGGGTAGGATTGGCCCAATAGTTCTGTCGGGTTGGGTCTGCTTCGTGAAAGTCTTTTGATATTTTTCCCCAACAACAACCAAATCCTGGCCCAAAAAAATCTAGGCTCGACACAAAAAATCTGTTTATTTATTTGTTTGGATAAATTACACTTTGTCCCATTTATGTTTGATTACTTTTTTACTTTGGCTCTTAAATTTTTTTTTTATTTTACTTTAGCCCTTTAAGTTTCAAATTTTTTTCACTTTACTCCTAAAGTTAATTTCTATTCAAAATTAGACAGAAAATGTCATAATAACTATCACATAACATAAAAAATATATTATTATATTAGAGTTTAACTTTATGTTAAAGATATGAGTTATATATAATAAAATATTTTTATACCACATGACTATTAATGTGTCATTTTCTATTTAATTTTGAACAAAAATTAGTTTTAAGAGTAAACTGAGAAAAACTTGAAACATGAAGGGCTAAAATGAGAAAAAATAAACTTTAAGGGAAAAAGTGGGAAAGTGACCAAACATAAAGGGGGCAAAGTGTAATTTACCCTATTTATTTATTGGTTTCTTGGTTTTCAATTTTATGTTTGTAAAATAATTTACAAATAAAAAATTAAAACATGAAATAAATACAAAATGATGTGGTAGTGCAATATTTGTAATTTTGAGTTATGCTGACGGGCCATTTATTTTGAAATGAAAGAACACAGAAGATCACTTTAGTCAATATGAACTTTTTGTATGAAAATTCTATTTGTATACCATTGACATTTCTTTATTGATGTTTCCTACTTTGTGTTTTCATCAATAAAAGTCTGTCTTTTGTTGATAAAAAATAAAAAAAAAAAGTTTACACAATGCAAACCATGGCAAAACATTATTCTCCCCTGCCTTTTCCATGACAATTTTTTTGGTTAATAGGTTAGTAGAATTATATTGTTATAATAGACTAATGTCACTTCTTTTTAATAGCACATAATTATATCAAAATATTGTAAAACTACATCCAAACATCTCTTAAACACCAAAATTTCATATACAATTTATTTATAATTATTATATATGTTGAGTTATCTAAATTCTTTTGCTTCACGTTATTGATAGTTATGTGTTGTTATTTGAAAAAAATAATAATAAAAATGAAAAGAAGATGTGTTGAGAGAGTAAAAGTAGGAAGAGATGGTGGCTATGATCGGTAGAGTGAGTGCGATGGGAGAGAGTGGGTGTGTAAATTTTTTTTTTTTTTATTGAAATACATTGTGCCTTCAAATGTAATTTTTCTAAAGAGTATATGTTGAACAATCTTCACTGTACTTAAATAAATTAATTTTGTTTAAGTACTAAACGACAAACAGAATATAAAAGAAAAATAGGAAAGGAGAGAGAATGTTTTATTACAAAAATCAAACCAATAAATAAATAAAAACAGATTTTTATTTTGTTACAAAAATAAAATCAGAATCTAATTTAAATAAATAAAAGCAAAGCAGAAAAATAAATTAACTTACTTGATTAATTTCTTGAACAATATTTTGATCTAGCCCAGTGTTAGACACTGTGTCCTTAAAACAGATTCGTCCTCTCTATGGTGCTTTCAAAATGTGGACGCCTATCTCCTAGGATAAAATGATCAACAGCAAACAATAACAGCACTACAGATTATTTGCCCAACGAATTCACTAAGTGTTTATACTATTTCTCACATAAATTAAATGCGGCAAAATGCAGAGAATTATAACAAAGGAGAAGTACGAAAATTGCAGTAAAAAACCAAATGAGGGACTGCCTATTTATATAAGTGAAGTGGTGGCTTGGTGACTGCTAGTTTTGAATTAAACAGGTACAATACCCGTTCAAATGATTGACTGCCTATTTATATAGGTAAAGTGGTGGCTGCTAGTTTTGAATTAAACAGGTACAATACCTGTTCAATTTAAATTAAACAGATACAAAATCTGTTGGCACTGTTTGGACAGATAACCGAATCTGTTTGAATTTGAAAATTAAACAGATTTGAAATGTGTTCGGGTGGAACATATTCGGTTTGGACAGACTTTCTGGAGAGGTGCATTACAAAAATATAAATTTAATTTCAACCAGAATTTTGAAATAAAAACAGACAGATTTTATTTCAAAATAAATAAAATAAACTCAAATGTTTTTGGCCTAGACAAGCCCAACCCAACCTCACACCCGTGACCAGGCCCAACCCGTCCAAACGGCGGTGGCAGCACGTGGTTATTTTTGGGTCCAATGGGTATAGCTCATAACCTTCCTCTCTATAAAACTTGGGTATCCCTTGGGGCACACCCCAAATTCCAATCCCATGCCTTATAAACCCACTCAAAACTTCCCACCAAATTAATGTGGGACAAGCCATTATACTAACCTTAAGGAATTTCTACCAAAACTCTATTTCTATAGAGCTCACTTTGGTTTCAATTTTTCATTCACCCGATAATAGTTTTAAGAAACCAAATATACCACGTGAATCACAACGCGGCATAGAACGCGTTACCACTTAGACCTGCCAAATTTGGCGTACGGGTCCCACCTAAATAATAGACCAAAGTTAAAAAAAAAAATTCTATTTTTACTCGGAATTTCTAGAATTTCAAAACCATTTCTAACAGTATAATTATAATAATATAAAGTAAAAAAAGTCACAATTTGTGGGTATAAAGAGTTAAATAGTGTGGTAGAAATAGAAGCTTCACAAACAATTTCAAAGTAAGGAATCAATCACCAAATGTCGTTAGGTGGAGCAAAGGTTTCTACCGAATCCATATTAAAATGTGCATTATGTTCATTTATTTGAAGTATGAAATTCTCTTTATTCACTTCCACACGTCACCTCCTAAAATTTATCTTCTCTCATAGCTCCAAAAAAAACACACCAATTTTAAAAACTAGACACCAATTTTAAAAACAAGACTTGATGTTGTAAACTTCGTAACCCCATAGAGAGACTATACTGTTGTCTTACCCAACATATTTCTTAATGTTATGTAAACAACAATTGTTTGAATGCAAAGTTTCAAATACTATATTCTATGTTTTTAGTTAATTAATTTTGTTTCGCTTTCAAGGTATGGCGGTCATGAGCTGTAGTTTTTTTCTTTTTTTTCTTTCTTGATGTCTCAGTGATCATTTTCACAAGAAATAATCTCTAATAAAAAGGATTAGAGTGCTAGCAGAAGAAGATTGATAAATCATCACAAGAAATCTACTATGGCCAAAATTTGATTGGCTACAGATGAAAAATTATATCTATAGATATATATTACCGGCTGAGACGTAAACTAATTCAATCTTAAAAACTTGTAAGACGAAAGGGAGAGGAGTTCATACTACAAAAAATATGAAAAAAATAAAATAAAGGGTAGATAAAGGTGTCAATTAATGGTTAGATGTTTCACTTACTTCTCTTTTTTGATTCTACTCCAAAGATTTTGATGCGATACTTATTTGGTATATGTGGAACGGAGAATTATGGACTTGTTTTTCAGAAAAAATTTTGGAAAAAATTCTCTACAAATAAATTTTTAAGAGGAATCAAACTAAACAAATTTTTTCAAAAAAAATCTCAAAATTTTGTTTGGTTACCTACTTTTCAAAATCACTTTCTCTTTCATACACATCAAATCAATCATTTTTTTTTTAAATTCTCTCTCCAAAACAATTTTCCAAAACCATTTCTACAAAAATGCAAACCAAACAAGTTTTCGTACTTTTTATCTCAAAAACTACTCTACAAACACAAACGTTTTCAACTAATAATTAGTTGCAGCAAAGTCTCATACATCTTTGTGAATCAAAATAAAATAAAATGATATCCTATAAATGAAACTAAATTCCACCATATTCGTAAATTTACTATCATCCATCTCAAAAAAAAAATAATAATAATAATAAATAAATGGAGAAGGAGAATAAGGCTAAGTTTTGGAAGTTCAAAATAATCTATCTTTTTATCTTTTTTTCATCACATCACCTCTCTATTTTTCTGCACATTTTTTCGTAAAAAAATAAAAAGTACACTTATTTATATCATTCCAAATAACCCCTAAGAAGAAGAAGAAGAAGAAGAAGAAAATTATGATAAATCTTATATTTATAAATGCCCTTTGCTACGTGAATTAAGTGAAGAGTTGAAAAAATGATAAGGTTTATCCAGTGACATGTAACTACTATAACAGAAATGTATGACAGGTTTTCAAGGCTAGTAATTGTGGAGATATTGGTGAACAGATTGAATATATATATTCATCAGTAAGGGATTTTCTAATGTCCTATTTGGTTGGGAATTTGGAAAAGGAAAAAGAAAAGGTATGTGAAACTAGATAAAATGTAAGTATATTTTATTTACATTTTACTTTCATTTTTCATTTTTCTTTCTAAATCTTTTCTCAAATCTCTCAACCAAATACAGAGTAAATAGATAAATAATAAAATCAAAATGATTGTAATTTTTACTTCCTATTGAATAAATTCTAAAAAAATGGCATTGGTCATATTTGATATAGTTTTTACTTAGTACTTATGGGATAAAAATAATTTAAATAATTTTTAAAAAATTAATTATTAAAAAGCAAGAAAATGAATATTTTAACTTCTATTTCTGACTAATCGCTTTTAATTTGTAAAAAGTTGCAACGGAAAATCCTGTTATACCTTTTTTTTTTTTGAATAAGAAAATGCCAACCGGCTTACAAAGAGTCCAGAGATAAGATAGCCCTAAGCGCCGGAGGAGGATGGGCAACCCAGTCGAGGGGAAGCATGCCTGTCAAGTTGCGAGAAGCTACCCAGTGGGCCGCACGATTGGAGCTTCTAGGTGACCAGCAGAAAGAAATGTTGTTCCGAGACTTCGTAGAGCGAATATCATGTATAATAGCCATGCAATCCCATGGAGGAACTAGTTCAGAGACACTCAACTCGATGACTGTTTTGCTATCTCCTTCCACACTGATTTGGCTGAGGTTGAGGGTTTGAAAAAAGGCGCAAGCCATTCGAACCGCTTGGGCTTCTCCTTGTAAGGTTGACGATACATGAACAATAGAAGTGCGACCATCGACCAGTTGACCTTCCCGATTCTGAAGAATGGCAGCCAGGGAAGCTTTTGACCCGTCTTTAGTGAAGCTGGCATCACAATTAAGCTTAAAGTGGCCCAGACCTGGTGGACTCCATCTGTGGCTAGGGGGCTCGGACACTGCTGCATTCAGCTGTCGAGCACCAAGGTGATTAAGTACATATAACTCTCTCCAGGTAGCTGTGGCTTGATACAAAGTGACCGTGGGATTTAGGGGATTGTGGTTAAAGACCCAGTCGTTTCGAGATTTCCAAATACACCAACCCACCATCGCCACTTTCCCAATGATTTCTAGCTGTTCTGATTTGTTGGAGCACATATTCATAACAGAGTAAGTCCACTCAGCAACATAATTACAAACTTGCATATCAACTCGAATGCCAAGGTCACTACCGAAACAGACAGTCCTAGTCCAAGGGCAGTGGAACAGAAGGTGTTCAATGGATTCAACCGGACAGACACACGCTGGGCATTGACTCGATAGAGCACATTTCCTGCGAAACAGGTTTTCCTTTGTAGCTAACTTATTCTGACACATACGCCACCAAAAGTGGCGAACTTTCAGAGGGATGTTAAGAAACCAAATCAAACTCCACATGCTCGCCGGGGGGGAAAAAACAGGGGACTCCGCTAGCTTGGAGTCAAACTGGAGAGAATCTTGAATTGCAACATGATAACCACTGCGAACCTCATAGTTACCTTTCGGAGTATAATTCCAAATGACCACATCAGCTTGGTCTTCACATGAGATGGGTATGGACCCAATATGAGCAAGAAGCTCTGCACTAACTACATTTCCCAATTTATTGATATTTCATTCAGTGCTATTAGGGACAATAATATCAGAGACTTGTGAGATACTGCAATCCGGTGGCCGAGAGTTCGGAATTTGAAACCCAGGTAAACTTGGTATCCACTTGTTCTCCCAAAACATGATAGATTTACCGTTGCCCACTTGCCAGCGAACACCGTGCTCAAGCAACTGCCTACCTTGAAGTAGGCTAGCCCAGGCCCAAGAGGCCTTCCTCCCTTTCTGTGCCTGCATAAAATCCGTGTGAGGGAAATAGATCCCTCTTAGAATTCTCGCGCAGTAGGAATGAGGAAATTTCAAGATCCGCCAAGCTTGCCCGGCCAGAAGAGCTAAATTAAATGCCTTGAAGTCTCGAAACCCCAAACCGCTCTGTGACTTAGCAACTGAAAGACTTTTCCAATTAACCCAATGAATGCGACGACCATCCAGATCTCTTCTCCCCCAAAAATTACTCATAAAACCATTAAGTTGATCGCAAAATTTTTTGGGAAAGGCGAAACAAGCCATAGCATAGGTTGGGATTGCTTGTACCACCGATTTAAGGAGTGTTTCACGACCCGCTTGAGATAATAAATGATGCTTCTAACCTTGCATTTTTTGAACAGCCCTTTCAATCAAATACCCAAAAACTTCCGTCTTTGATCGGCCCCAAAAGGAAGGGAGACTAATATATTTGGAATTGTGCAACATGGGGGCAAAGCCCATAAATGAGCAGATCTCTTTTTGAACTGGCATTGGGATGTTGGTTGAAAAACGAATGCTGGACTTCTCCCAATTGATCAGTTGGCTCGAGGCAAGGCAATACTCCTCCAGACAAGTTTTCAAATGCTGACATTGGGCCACGGAAGCAGTAGAAAAAAGGAGGACATCATTTGCAAAAATTAAATGGGACAAGATGGGGCAATCTCGACTCAACTTTATACCCTGAAACCGATTATCAAAAGTGCTCCTGGAAATCATTCTTGAGAGAACATCAGCAACCAAAGTAAACAGGTAAGGTGAAATTGGGTCGCCCTGACGGAGACCTCTTTGAGGAATGAAGGCGGCTCGCTTCTCCCCATTAGCAAAAATTGAGAAGGACACCGTACTTACCACTGCCATGATCCACTGAACCCAAACTGAACTGAACCGAACCCCATTTGGAGAAGAAGAGCCTCTAAGAAATCCCATTGTGTGCGGTCATATGCCTTATTAAAATCTAACTTGATTGCCATCTCATAACTAGTGCCAGTCTTCTTCAGTTTTAGATGGTGAAAAGCTTCATGAGCTACCAAGATGTTATCTTGGATCAAACGCCCTGGCACAAATGCTGACTGTTGTGGGGAGATCACACTTTTCAGGATTGGTTTCAATCTATTGGCCAAAATTTTGGAGATGATTTTGAGGGTGAAATTACATAAGCTGATGGGTCGGAATTGAGTGAGTTTTTCTGGGTTAGGCACTTTGGGGATGAGGACCAAGTTGGTATAATTCAGTTCTCTTAAGAGATGCCTAGTAGTAAAAAACTTTGAATCGCCGAGCAGACATCATTACCCACCACCTCCCAATAAGTTTGGAAAAAGATACCAGAGAAACCGTCAGGTCCTGGTGCTTTCAGAGGTCCCAATTGAAATGCTGCGGATCGAATTTCAGCGTTGGACACCGGGTTGGTTAAAGAGGCATTCATCTCTTTGGAAATAACCTGCTGGATAGTTGACAAAAGGTGATCAAAGTTTCGGGAAGGAATGCTGGAAAACAACTGAGAGAAGTAATCATGGAGATGTGAGTTAATCGCCTCATCAGTGGATAACCACTGTCCATCCTCATTTTGCAATTTAACCAATTGGTTCCGTGGTCGACGCTGGATTAAAGTGGCATGAAAAAATGCAGAATTCCGGTCTCCCGACTTTAAGCAATTCACTCGAGATCGTTGATGAAGGAACATCTCCTCACGGAGGAGCACTCTCAAAATGTCATCTTGAGTCTCCTTTTGGGTAGCTGCGTTGAACTCGGACCAGTCAAGAGCTTGGAGATGAGACAACTTGGAATTAAGCTCTGCTAACTTGGTTCGATTGTCTCCGAATTCACTTCGACTCCAAGATTTTAGCACCAGTTTGCAGCCTTTCAATTTTTGACACAATTTAAACATGGGAGAGCCCCTATTAACCTCCTCCTACTTAGCTCTAACAACTTCAAGACAGTCCCGAGAAGTTGTCCACATTGATTCAAACTTGAATAGATGAGGCACTCTTTTAGGGGGGAGACAAGTGTTAAGGATAAGTGGACAATGATCTGAACCAATAAGAAGCTCATGAAAAAGTTACGCATGGGGGAAAAGTTCTCGCCAATCCACAGTTGCCATTGCTCTGTCAATTCTTTCCCGGACATTATGCCTCCCCGACTGGTTGTTTGTCCATGTAAAACCATGACCCTTGAACTCCAAATCCATTAGAGCACACTCCTGGAGCAATTGTTGAAAGCCCAAAATTCTCCTAGCTATAGGTCCTGCGGCCCCAGTCTTTTCCCAAGAGGCCCCTATCTCATTAAAATCACCCAAGCAAAGCCATGGAAATTGGTTTTCAGAGGCTATGGTTCAGATAGAATCCCAAAACAGGTTGCGAAGTTGCTCCCTAGTCGGTACATGAATGAAGGTGGCAAGCCAAGATATACCATGATGAGATAAGACACAGCAGAGCAAGTTCTAATTACGAGAACGAACATTAATGACTATTTCATCCGTCCACCAAAAAGCCAACCCCCCCGCAATACCAACTGGGTAAACATAAGAACTGTTAGTGAAACGCAAACGTCGGTGAAGGCGCTCCAAAACAGAGCGTTTATTCTTTGTCTCCATTAAGAAAACCACACTGGGACGATGGGTTTTGCACAACCCTCGGAGGATCTGGATTGTCAGGGGTCGTCCCAGCCCCTGACAATTCCAGCTGATTATAAACTTGGGGGTTGTGGCTGTATAGGACCAGCCACCAGTCCGTCTTGTTTGGATGCAACATTTGTTACAACTGGGGGCGTGCATGAATTATTCTAGCCCAAGTCAGCATCAACGGAACCAGGGGGATAGGCATGCATTCCATGCATGGAGAGAGAAGGCCAAGTTTGCTGCACACTGTCAACATGTTGAATTTCCACTTCCACCAAGTCAAGGCATGGCAACTGTTGGTTACTCCTCAAGTGTGGAGATCCTTGGTGTGTCTTTCTGGGACAGGTAATGGGTTTGGTCTTGGGTTTACATTGGGTTAAAGAGGACGAGATTAATGGCATTTGGTATGGGATGGGGTTATGTTTTAGAAACTTTGGGATGGGCATGAGAGGAGGGGGGAAGTCAGTGGCCTTTCTTTTAAGAGAGAGATTGTTAAACACGTTGGGCAACACTGTATCAGTAATATTTGAGTCCAAGGCTAGGGATCAGTAATATTTGAGTCCAAGGCTAGGGATTTTGGGCTAGAGAGTGGGCTAGAATTATCAGGAGGGGAAGAACATTTGGACTGCAGTGATAAGGGGCTATGGAGTGAGTCTGGGCTATCAGCAGGTTCAGTGAAATAGTAGGTAGGCCCAGTTAGAGGGGGAAGTTTTAGAATTGGGAGAGAAGGGGATTGACTTTTTAAGTTAGAAGGGTTGGGGCCAAGTGGGGCTTAGAGTGGATTACCTGATAGGGAAGGTTTGGTAGGCCCAACAAGATATGGATTGGTAGAGGGCTCGACAGTTGCAATTTGTTGTACCAGGGTACCACATGATCCGTACGGTTGCAGTTGGAGAGGAACAATTCTTGAATGGTATGTGTGAAACAGAACAAGAGCATAAAAAGCAGCATTAAAAATGGAATCTTCTAAAGTATTTGTCGAAATAATTTATTTCTAAAATGATAGAGAAAGCGAAATTGAGTACTCGAATGAAAGAAATTGATCTAAAACTAGCTTAGGTTAAATAGATAGTGAGTTTTGCCTATTAGAACTTTTTAAATTGAATATGAGTTTTTCGAAGCAAATCCAACAACTTTAGACGACCAAGCATATATTTACTGTTTCGCATGTATGGTTTAAATTTTTGACAATTTATAAGAACTTTTCATAATAAGAAAAATATTTTAATACTTTGAAAAACAGTATTGAAGTTACATAAAAGCTTTCAACACTTTGAAGTCACTAGCTTTACATCAATATTATATTATTTTGGAAAAATTATATTTAAGGGGAAACAATTCAAAATATTATAATTTTTTTTGGAGGTGCAAACCGATCTGTGACCAGTGTAAGTGAAAATTATGACATGGGACACAACTGTTATTTGTACCAACTTACAGCTCCATGAAAGTATAATTATTTTGATTTATTTTCATAACGGCTAATCTCAAATGAGCTTTTAATTAACGAGCTGAACATAAGTCAAGCTCGAATAACTCAGTTCATTTTACAATTCTCCTAATAATTCATGACTTATGACATTCATACCGTGGGTGTTGATTTCTGACCTCACAACAAAACAGATCCCTCTGCAGAGATCTAAGGAACTTAGTTAGAAAGCACGTGACAAAATAGATCAAGCCAAACACCTACACACAAAATGGTAAGAAATACCACAATGACTCGTCCACCTGCGGGCACTCTGATGCTCAAGTCAATCAACTTATCTCACAAAGATATCAACTCAAATAAAAGTGCACAAGAAAAAACATACCTTAGACCCACGGATGCCTTACTTTTATAATAAACGGTGTCCTTGTTCTCTAGAAGTCTCATTTCATAAGACTTAAGAATAACACTTATCTCAGACTCTTAGTTAAATAAAAATGAACCCCTTAAGAGTCTCATGTCTATCTGAACTAAGCATCGTAACTTATGTAAGACTCTTATCCTTTATTCAAATATCTCGGATCTCGATATTTTCGCATTATATTTCGACAATATGGCGACAACATCGATAATATGACTCGTCCACATGACACCTCAACCAACATCTCAACTACTTGATGTGACCTTAAAAATATATCCCCACACATACTCTTATTTACTTATTTTTCTTTGTCAAAATAATCACAGTTTATTCTCTATTCTAACTCGTTTTTTCATGGTTAATATATTGCAATGCTATCTCCACTTTAAAAAGGGGTTGAAGAATTCAATTTGTAAAGAGTATTTACATAAACCGTTAAGTGGCAAGTGTTTATTGGTTTTGAATAGTAATAATGATGTGACAACACGTGGACAGTGGGATATAATCACTCACATACCTTACTAGGTGGAATAAGATTTAGCCACATTTACTCAGATATATAACCATAGGCTTAGGGTTGTTTTGTTTTCATTTTAGGCTAAATAATTACAAAAAAATTAAAAAAAATTAAAAAATTACAAAAGGATAAAAATCATAAAAGGATAAAAAAAAATTTATTATTCCAAAGTTAAAAAGTTAAAAAATGCAATTAAAAATACCAAACGAACAAAAAAGTCATAGATCAAAAAAGTCAAAAAAATTAAAAAATCAACTAAAAAAATTATTACCAAACAAAGATTTAGTCAACACACTAGTCTTATTTTGTGGTTATTATATTGTGCCTTTCATATCATTTATTTGAAGTATAAACTTTAATTATCCACTTGCACACTTCACCTCGTAAATTTCTCTTCAGTGGCTTCAAAGTTGAGAAAAAAAATTAACTGTTTGTTGATCATTAATTTCCTATTTGAAATCAAAAGTATCGAATTTTATACTGCAATCTTGATCTCTTAATTTTTTGCTAGCTGTAATTTTTTGCTTGAAATTCTTAATGATCATTGGTACAAGACATGATCTCTAATTAGAAAAGAAACAAAAAAATGTTTCATGTCTTGAAGAAGTTTACCAAACAAAAAGATAGAGAAGTAACTTTTTTACCAAAAACTCTATTGCACTAATGGACCCCACCTTGTGTGAGGCGACAGCAGAATTTTTAAATAGAAAAATAGGGGTATATATTATGTCAGTCATTGAATCAAATTTAACCTAAATCTGATCCCAATCGAAAAAAAATTGGAATCTATTAGCAGATATCCGATCAAATTGATCCAATTATTGTTGAATTTCATATTCAAACATCAGATTTTCATAGTTTAATTTTTATGATCTTTTTTTTTAACAAAGTTTAATTTTTATGATTGGATTTGTCATAATTAAATAAGGTTCAGATTTATTATGCC